TATTTTTACTTTGATGAAAAACTAATTTATATAAATTATGACTGTTAGAGATGTTGAAGGTAACACAAGACATGGGCAATGCTATGAAGGGTATTACCAAACAAATCAGACAGAAAATTAGGCAAATAAATTGCTTTTACTATAGAGGATATGGTGGAATTTGATCCACAAAATGGGAGGATGGAGATGCTCTCTAAAGTCATGGTAAATATGATATATAATCCTCTAGAAGGATAAGAGGAGGACGAGTAAACCAAAGAACTTGTTAGTCGATTCCTTGTTGAAATTGGATTTGACATCAATGACTTCGTCATTATGTTATTGATGATCAAGTCCCACATTTGTTGTTTTCAAGTTTACTTCATCATGCAGCCAACTTTGATTACCTATAACCCTTCCTATGCATGATAAAAGAATCTTTGCAGAATGCATAACATGAGAATCTTTAATTAAGAAATGCAACTACATTAAATAGCTTTTTTAATGCATTCCTCCAAAAATATTGTCTTTTATCTTAATTTATTTAAGCTGCAGTTTACATTGTTTGAACAGTTGCAATTGGGTATATATATAAAAGAAGAGATATAAATACATTTTTTTGGAGCTTCCATATTAATTTTCTTGGGTTCAATGTATTCTTAGGTTTTGTTTAATGAAATATGTTCAATATTCCTTTGGATTTCAAATGTTTATTCATTTTAGCCTATGGAAATTTGGATGAAAAGTTTTATTCCTTTATTTGGATATTTGAAATGATGGTAGTGTTCTGCAAGCCTTATTTTGTTATAATCTGTTCTAAGTTCTACTTATTCTTTTTATGTGGCATTTACATACATAACACCTAGTTGCTACATAATCATATATTTAAAAGCTAAACTTTGATTTTTAATATTTATACCATGTAAATCTTTCATATCACATTAAATTTTAAGTTCATGTTAGATATGTAAATACTTATGAATTGAGTGGTATTCAAATTAGATAATTGGAGGCAACACATACCATTAGCCATATTATAAGCTCATGGAATCAAGCAAAGAGCATAAACGTTTTTCCAGCCATATCATTAGCCATGTTATTGAGGAAAGTTGTAACAACCCATGTGATTTGATAAAAAAAAGTAGCTTGTGAACACTTTGCATACTAATTAGTATAAAGTTTAAGATAATTTTTTCTAATTTATGCCCTTCTACATACTGTATAAATATGGCAAAGAGAACAAACATAATGTTTTGTATTCAATCAGTAATACTGTGATCTGAATCAATTCATACTTGAGTTAGACTTTGCATTAGTAGAAGAATAAAATTCAACCAAAAAATGCGCTTAAAATGATGAAATTGCAATGGGATTCTAGTTTTAATATTTTTAACAAAAATAAATCTACTATTATAAAGATACAATATAGAATCATAATGAATTTTCTAGTAAAATTCAAATACAAAAAAAAATTAGAATTTTAGCATTGTGCATCTTATTGAATATGAAACTCATTATGAATCATTTAAAGTAAATATGTATGCATTTGTTGCATGCGAACCTTCTTATTTCTCTCCATGACAGTACAAAACTGTATTGATATTTTCTAATCTTTTTTGCTGCATGGTAAGTGCAACTAAATTTTTCATAAAAGAGAAACCCAAGAGGAGTACCTCATTCAGAAGTTATTTGCAAAACTCAAATTACATGATTTCATTACAAATGCATCTTGTAGCCCCTACTTAATTGGCACTAATATGCTCCCAAGGCAGATTCGATCCATAAATTACTAGGCTTGAAAATATTATAGTCGTTTCTTGCATTGACATCTAATTGTGTATATTTTAGGATTTCATATCTTATGTAAATCTCCCCATTTTGGGTGATTAGCATACATAACATTCAATTCTTATGTATTTACATATCCAACACCTAAACTTCAATATTTATTTTTATAACACTTATATGTCACATCACATCAAATTTTGCATTAATTCTTTTGATATAATTTTGACATTAAAATGTTATTCAAGTAAATATAAAAATGTAGGTTTTATACATGTAAAATCTTGTTATGACTGTTTGATTTAAGTGGTTAGCAAAAACTACAACTATTGTTTTCTTTTCAATTCAATAATTTAATAATACATATATGATGTCTATATAAATAATTCATAGCAGAATAATATTGAATTATTGAAACAATAAAGGCTGAAAACAAATAAAAAATGGTAAATACCATTATATAGTAAAATAAAAGAGCAATTAAAAGTACAAATGTTACAATTGAGCAGAAGAACATGAGTTTTCCCAACCTATCTACTTCATAGAGTTGTCCAGAATAAGGGAAAATGGTTGCTTCATCTGTATGACTTTCATGCCATCCTTGATGACTCGTCATTTGCAAGATTGAGAATGAGAAAAATTTGCCTTGGAAGATTAGTCCATACCAAGAAATCAGAGAAATTATCATTAACTGGAGAGAAATTATCATTAACTGGATATTCATTAACTGGATATCATAGCTACTGCATCTTAGTAGAAATCAACTTGAATAGAACTTAAAAATGAAATGTGGTAACTCTATATTTTCTTAGCATTATAAGCATTTTAATAGCAACAATAACAGTGGCTTCAAATACCTGCTTTTTATTTTTGATATTTATAACATTTAAATATTTCATACCATATCGAAAATAATATTTTTTTAACCTTTAAAAATTAAAATACATCTTTGCACGCGGGCATATATGTAAAAATTGAAGTTTAGGTGTTGGATATGTAAAGCTTCCTATTTCTCAATAGTTTTTCTTTTACAATTCAGTTTTTTTTTTAATTAGTATTTTTTTAAAATAATATTTTTTAAAATATTCATTCTAATCATGGTCGTCCAACATTTTGACCTCCTTGATTAAATAAAATAAAATGTCACTTTATATATATATATATATATATAAGGAAAGAGCAGCTTATGGTTCCTTACATGTTAATCACAAAAGATGAGTACAAAAATGGGTTGGGAAAGGATCCCCCGCTAAAATAACAAAAAACCATTCATAACACACTCCCATACATAACACACTCATTAACAAAAAACCATTCATAACACACTCGTTAGGGGGTTCCTTAGCCCGATTACACCCGAACCTAGAAAATAGAAACCTAGAAAATAGAAAAATATGAGATAAAGGTATAGCCAAGACAAAGATACATGTATCTCAAAACAAAATACCCTCAAATTATAAAACAAAACATGTAGGCAAGCAAAAATCCTATGCCAGCATGAGTGAATTCTGAAAAGAAATGAAGTCCAAAAAGCCAAGCCTCCAATATTGTCCCACGATAGTGTGGAGAAGAGAGCTGCAACACAAAACGAGCAAAACCGGGCTCCACCACATCCCAAAAACCGATTTTGGGAACCTTAATTATCGAAACACTGAGCAGTCCAGCCCCAAATAACCTCCCTGCCGAAAATTTAAAGCTCCTGTACCGAAAATTGGAGGCTTCAAAACCTCCCAAAATCCAGAAGCCCTGTATCAAAAATAGTGGCAAGATGATGGAAAGAAAATTGCTAAAACGGCTCCATAAATTACTCATTAACAAACCTAATAAAAGGTGCATCCATAGAATCCCCATTAAGTAAGACCTGTAAAGGCAGAGGTGGAAGAGTACCAACAAAAACCTATAAATTTTGAGCAGCAACATTGGCAACCCAATTGGCCTGCATATTTCCTTCACGATGAATGAACTTCCAAGCAATCATAATATTAGAGGATAGGCGTTTAATTCTGTTAATGTAATAAGCAATGTCCTACGTCACGATGGTAGCACAGGTTAACATATCGACAATAGTTTTAGAATCAGTTTCAATCTCAATGTGGTGCCAACTTAAATAACCAGCAATAGCATCAACCATTAAAATCGCATGGGCCTCAGCTTCCAGCGGGGAGTCTGAATAATAGAGAAGGTACTTTCCCTTATCATCTCTCGCAATCCCACCAAAACCAGCCCTACCATGCTTCCAACTCCCATCTGTATTAATTTTGATCCATCCAGAAGGAGGAAACCAAAACACAAGAGTCGGGATATGAGAAACCCGAACCCGGATTTGACACACTAGAGTGTGGCCCCCAGAGTGAAAATGAGATAACCCAGAATAAAAACTCTCCTTCATACAACAAAAGTTATATATATGGACGCAAAAGGAGAGAATATTAGAAAAAACATTGGTACAACCAATGCTTTTATTTCCATGTTTAATATCATTTCGGGCCATTTATAAGAACCAACACATGATATAAGGATAAATTTGAAGGAAATGATTACGCCTTCGATCCGGATTACA